TTTTTAATTTAAAGAGAAAACCTGGTTACTAGTTGATCCAGGATGCCCATATGAGTCCAACCACTGCACAGAATGGTAGTTTATAGATACTCTTTCATTGAGGGGTCATCCTGTAGACCACCAAGGAGGCCCTCTGAACCATACTGAGAAATCAACTTGGTACCCTTTGCTATTTCTTTTTTTTTTTTAATATTTTATTTATTTATTCATGAGAAACAGAGAGAGGCAGAGACACAGGCAGAGGGAGAAGCAGGCTCCATGCAGGGAGCCTGACGTGGGACTCGACTCTGGGACTGTGGGATAACACCCTGAGCCAAAGGCAGATGCTCAACCGCTGAGCCACTCAGGTGTGCCCCTTTTGCCATTTCTAAAAAATGAAAATTGAATCCATTTGATAGTCAGAAATGAGTCTACAGAGTTCCCAACAAGATGAACCAAAAATTCCTCAGAACCCAGGATATTTATACTTCTAGAGATTCTTTAGTGCAGTATTATCAGTACCTCTTGGATGCGCTTCTTGATCCTGGATGACATATACCATTGCATGACATTTTTGCACAACTCTTAGTCAAGACTTGGCAGAAATCTCCCTCCCCCAAAAGAATTTAGAGGAGCCCTATTTCTGCTTGCTTTTATTTTTTTAATTTTTATTTATTTATGATAGTCACACACACACACACACACACAGAGAGAGAGAGAGAGAGAGAGAGAGAGGCAGAGACACAGGCAGAGGGAGAAGCAGGCTCCATGCACCGGGAGCCCGATGTGGGATTCGATCCCGGGTCTCCAGGATCGCGCCCTGGGCCAAAGGCAGGCGCCAAACCGCTGCGCCACCCAGGGATCCCTCTGCTTGCTTTTAAAGGAAGAGAATATGGAAATTCCTTAGAAGAGTTTGTGGAATTTGGCTATCTACATAGTTTGATAGTTTTAAGGGGAATCAACTAATCATGTTGACCAAATCACTAGCTAGTTCATAACCGCAGTCAGCTTGACTAATGGTCCAGTTGACAATCAAATCAACTAATTGTTTTTGTTTGGTTGGTTTTTTGGTTTCTGTTTTGCCTTTGACAATGCAGAGGCTAAGCTGGAGCAAACCAGAACAATCTTGTTGGTGCTTACAGAATAGAAGTAGATAATATCTTTAAAAATGTGGGAGTCCTGGGACACCTGGGTGGCTCAGTGGTTGAGCGTTTGCCTTTGGCCCAGGGCCTGATCCTGATGACCCAGCATTGAGTCCCACATCGGGCTCCCTGCATGGAACCTGCTTCTCCCTCTTCCTGTGTCTCTGCCTCTCTGTCATGAATAAACAAATAAAATCTTTAAAAAAAATGTGAGAGTCCTCATGGAAAACAGGGCCACATTAGAGAATTAGATGGAATCAAATGGGTTAAGCTCCTCAGAAAAAAAAAAAAATAATAATAAAGGGAAAAGCTATTCTTGTCAGGGACTGAAGTCTCTGCAGAAATTGATTAGGTGGAGTGTCCCTCTGGGCCTTGGAACAATTAGCTCTCAGAAAATTAAAGGACAGCCTTTGTGCTTCTAGGGATTCAGATGTGGCAGGTGTCTCCTGTCCCTTAGGAACTGTTCACTCCTTCCAACCTCTCATTTTATGGATGCTTGCCCCTGCAGGGTAGACCCAAACCCTTGAGAGTTAAAGATTTTGAGGCACAGAGAGAGTCTGAATAATTGGATTCTTGGAAGACATTACTTTTGTGAGTTTCTGCCACAAATGTACTTCCTGGGGGTGTTTTCTGTTAAAAAAAAATTCTTCTTTTGAGAAAAGTGAAGAACTAAGGTGTTGTACTGCCTAAAGTGGGTGATGGAAAAGAGACTATTTTTTCTGTCCCTTTACTACCTTCACTCTTAGCACAAAGTGAGCAATGGGAGAAGGTGACTGGGTGGCAATCTTGCAGATACCTGAGGAGAGTAAATGTGGCCTTGGGGTGAGCAGAGGCAGTGTTGTTCGGCACTGGGAGAAGGCAGGGGAGCACACAGACTGTGGCGAAGCAGAGCAATTTGCTCATTTTACCTGCTGAGAACGATTAGCTGTGTTTACGTCAGGGTGGGTGTGATGAACCTGATGAAGACAATCTGGAGTGGAGGAGCCCGAATAATAGATGTCTCCCCGACTGTGTGCGAGGAGGGCCCCATGGGAAGGTAACTCAGAGCAGGAGGTGAATACTCCTCCTGCACAGAGGAGTCAGCACATTCTTTCTTCAGGGTGAAAGACTTGACACATTTTGGAATGACGTTTAGAATATTGTATATTTTTAGCAGCCGATATGAAAATTCCTCTTAGGGAGAAACCCATCTTTGTAAAAGTTACCCTTACAACCCCCCTGGGAGTCTCTGAGGCTCCTGGGTCTGGCCAGGCCAGGGGCCTAGCTTTGAGAGGCCAGTCCGGCAACTTTGTCTAATAGAGGATGATGCCTGAGGGGGAGAGGAAGGAGGTGGAGAAAGTCTTCAGAATAGGCTGCAACTGTCAAAACGTTTGGTGGGAAAGGATCTTTGTTTTGTTTTCTTTCGATTTTACTTATTCATGAGAGTCACACAGAGAGAGACAGAGACACAGGCAGAGGGAGAAGCAGGCTTCCGCAGGGAACCTGATGCTGTACTCAATCCCAGGACTCCAGGATCATGCCCTGAGCCTAAGACAGATGCTCAACTGCTGAGACACCCAGGAGTCCCTGTTTTGCTTTGTCTTCAAAACCAATAAAGGTGGTCACTTATCTGTAGAGCAGAAATAAGATATATGGAGGTGGGATCTGAAATCAGAGGGGCCTTTAAAACTGTAAGTTTATGTTGGGGACTTGATGTCTGAGTCACAGAGTAAAGCAGTTGGGCTTTCAGAGGGTATATATTATATATTAATATGTGGTTGCAGAGATTAACACACAGCACATCCAACTTCCCCCAGGAGAGGAGAACCCAGGGACCGCTTTGCAATATAGAAATCTACTTCCAGTGGTGATTCTTATTTAAGTGTATACATCGACACAACTTTTTTTTTTTAATTTTTATTTATTTATGATAGTCAGAGAGAGAGAGAGAGAGAGAGAGAGAGGCAGAGACACAGGCAGAGGGAGAAGCAGGCTCCATGCACCGGGAGCCCGACGTGGGACTCGATCCCGGGTCTCCAGGATCGCGCCCTGGGCCAAAGGCAGGCGCTAAACCGCTGCGCCACCCAGGGATCCCTAGACACAACTTTTTGGAGTGAAGTTGGGCAGTATCTATCAAAACTTAAAACAAGCACATCTTCCACCTCAATAATTTCACTTCTCAGAATCTGCCCTGTAGAAACATACACGTGCAAATATGTAAGTTCCATGAAGTTTTCTTGAAGCATGATTTGTAATAGCAAAACTAGGAAACAACCTGATTGTCCATAAATGGGGGGCATGCATGGTTAGATTGATTATTGTACATGTTGGGGCCAGGCGGGAAGAGAAACTCCTCAAGATGGCGGATACCCCAAATGGCTGAGGTTCCTGTCACCACCTCCACCTGAGACGCCAATGGACCAATGACCTGCTGACAGCTTGACGCAGACCCTTAGACCTCTCCTTTGGACTTACCCAACTGGACCCAATGCCCTTCAAACCCCAGAGGAGGAAGTCACCTTTGGCCGAACTGCAATCCGTCCTTTGCATAGTGAGGGTCACTCTGACTGGTTGGATTGCAATCCTTCCTTTGCATATGAGCCGACCAATAGGAAACCGTTCTGCCTTACAACGTTATGTAAACCCCCTGCCACCTTGTCTTGGCGCGACTTCCCCGACTCACTCTTCCCCTCCGTGAGTCGTGGAACCTCGCTCGAGGGTGCCTGCAATAAAATCTGTTCTTGGACCCTCGCTTGCCTTGGCGGTCTTATTTCCATTTAGTTACCAAAAAACCTAACAGTTAATAGAAGGCTATACTGGCCACCGTAGTACAGGGCTCAGGGCAGAGTAAGTCAGGACAGAGTAGGGACCTGGGAGACAAAAGAGGACCACGGGTTGACATACATCCCACGGTGCCGAATCCCTACAACTTGCTCAGCACCTTACCCCCAAGCCATGTCTGGTATACGGTGTTAGATCTAAAAGATGCATTCTTTCGCCTAAGGTTAAGCTCTCAAAGCCAGCCTATTTTTGCCTTTGAATGGAAAGATCCTGAGACGGGATTCTCAGGACAACTCACTTGGACAAGGCTGCCACAGGGATTCAAAAACTCCCCCACTTTGTTCGATGAAGCCTTGCATCGGGATTTGGCAGATTTCCAAGTTGGCCATCCGGACCTCGTCCTCCTGCAGTACGTGGATGATTTGCTCCTGGTGGCTAGGACAGAACAGGATTGTGTAAAAGGTACGGGGGCCCTGCTTGAGAGACTGGGAGAACTGAGGTATAGGGCCTCCGCCAAAAAGGCCCAAATAGGCCAGAGACAAGTGACCTATCTGGGATATCTCCTGGAAGGAGGCCAGAGGTGGCTGACGGAGAGCCGCAAAAAGGCTGTAGCCCTGATCCCAGCACCCACTAATGCCAAAGGACTACGAGAGTTCCTCGGCAGTGCTGGGTTCTGCCACCTCTGGATACCCGGGTTTGCCGAGATGGCGGCTCCCCTATATCCTCTCATGAAATCCAACACCCCCTACCACTGGGGAAAGGAGCAACAATTGGCTTTTGAAAAATAAAAAGGGCCTTATTGACCGCCCCTGCCCTGAGCCTCCCAGATGTAACCAAGCCTTTTACGCTATATGTTGATGAACATAATGGAATAGCCAAAGGGGTCCTAACTCAAAAACTGGGACCCTGGAAAAGGCCCGTGGTATACTTTTCAAAAAAAAAATTAGCGTGGCTGCAGGATGGCCCCCATGTCTCCGAATAATAGCGGCTATGGCAGTCCTGGTAAAAGACTCAGACAAGTTGACTTTCGGCCAACCCCTCACTGTGGTGGCCCCCCATGCCGTAGAGACAGTCATCCGCCAGCCCCCTGATCGATGGCTCTCAAACGCCTGGGTCACCCATTATCAGGCCATGTTACTGAATTCTGAGCAGATACGGTTTGGAACGGCTACATCTCTAAACCCGGCCACCTTGCTTCCAGAAACCGAGTCCCCCTCCCTAGTAATGCATGATTGCCACCAGATCCTAGCTGAAGTCCATGGCACCAGAGGGGACTTGACGGACCAGCCTTTGCCAGATGCTGAAGCAACCTGGTACACCGATGGGAGTAGCTTTCTACGAAATGGTGAGCGTAAAGCCGGGGCAGCCGTGGTAGATGGGAAAGCTGTCATTTGGGCCAGTGCCTTAGAGCCTGGGACTTCAGCTCAAAGGGCAGAGCTTATAGCCCTAACTCAGGCCCTAAGAAAGGCTAAGGACAAAAAGGTCAACATTTATACTGACAGCAGATATGCTTTTGCAACTGCCCATGTTCATGGAGAAATATACCGTAGAAGGGGTCTCCTAACCTCAGCAGGTAAAAACATCAAAAACAGAGAAGAAATACAAGATCTTCTCCATTCCCTCTTTCTGCTGAGAAAACTGAGTATAATTCACTGTCCTGGGCATCAGCGAGGCAATGACCCAGTAGCAGAGGGGAACAGGATGGCCGATGAGACAGCACGGGCCGCTGCACTAGGCCCACAGGCCCTCTCCCTACAAGTACCAGAGGCTGTCCGGACACCGGGGCAACTCTCTCTCGAGTACTCAGACAGCGACCTAGATATCGTCCAGCAAATAGGGGCAAAATATGACGAGCAAATGAAGGTCTGGAAACACCAAGGGAAGACGGTCCTGCCCCAGAAAAGGGCCAAAGAACTGGTGACTCACCTCCACCGATGGACTCACCTCGGACACAAAAAATTAAAAGCACTCCTCCGGAGAGAAGGTCAGACCTATTACATTCCCAAACTCCCCTGCCTGATCCAACAGGTAACCGACGCTTGTGTACCTTGTGCTAAGGTAAATACCAAACACCTCAAGATGCCTGAGGGAACCAGGATGAGGGGAGAAAGACCCGGAACTAATTGGGAAGTAGACTTCACCGAAATCAAGCCAGGTAAATATGGTAACAAGTACCTCCTAGTGTTTGTAGATACCTTTTCAGGCTGGACAGAAGCTTTCCCCACCAAGCGAGAAACCGCCCAGGTGGTTGTCAAGAAAATCCTAGAAGAAATTTTCCCCCGGTTTGGACTGCCCAAGGTAATAGGGTCGGACAACGGCCCCGCCTTCGTCTCCCAGGTAAGTCAGTTGGTGGCCAGATTACTGGGGATAAATTGGAAATTACATTGTGCATACAGACCCCAGAGCTCAGGTCAGGTAGAAAGAATGAATAGAACAATTAAAGAGACCCTAACTAAATTGACATTGGAGACTGGCACTAGAGACTGGGTCCAACTCCTCCCTATGGTTCTGTTCCGAGTCCGGAACACTCCCGCGCGCCATGGGCTAACTCCTTACGAGGTTCTCTATGGAGGTCCCCCACCAGTAACGGACTTACTAGATTCTGCTATTGACCCTCTTGCTAACACTCCCGGTTTACAGGACAGGCTAAAGGCGCTCCAGATTATCCAGCACCAGATCTGGAAACCCCTTGCGGCTGTCTACCGCCCCGGAGACACAACCGGCCCACACCCGTTCCAGATCGGTGACTCCGACTACGTCAGGAGACATCAGTCCAGGACGCTTGAGCCCCGCTGGAAGGGCCCATATACTGTACTACTGACCACCCCAACCGCCTTAAAGGTAGACGGCATTGCTGCTTGGGTCCACGCCTCACACGTCCAGCGCGCCCCATCAACGAGCACCGCTGACGCCAGCCAGGAAGGACCGGTCGAGCCACTCCAATGGAAGCTCCACCGCACCCAAAACCCGCTCAAGATAAGACTTCCAAAAATTGTTCAATGACAGTTGTTATATTCCTACCTCTCCTAGCGCTTTTCACCTCCACCAAAGGTGACCCTCATGCCCTCAAAAGGTTAACCTGGCAGGTACTAACGTCCGGGGGTGACGAGGTCTGGTCTATAACTAAGACCGCCCCGTGGGAACCTGGTGGCCTAACCTATATCCTGACCTATGCAAGCTAACCATAGGGGCCCCTAGCCCATGGGACCTAGAGGGATACTTCGACACCTCTAGAGCCCCTAACCAAGAAAGCCCTCCAGGGCGACTGGGATTAGACCCATGGGGAGGATGTGGCACGCCTGAAAGAAGGGCCATGCTAAGCACTCTTCCCTTTTATGTCTGTCCCGGGCACCACAGAGATCGCAGGCTAAATCCCACCTGTGGAGGAGGGGAATATTTCTATTGTAAAAATTGGGGGTGCGAAACAACGGGGGATACAGAATGAAGGCCCTCCTCCTCCTGGGATTATATCACTGTCAAGGCTAACTATACTCACCCGACATTTAGCAAATGGAAAACCCTTAATTATGGGCCCTGCCAAGGGTGGTGTCATCCCCTACGGATATCCTTCACGGAGCCCGGAAAAAGGGCTACTTACTGGGCCAATGGATATACGTGGGGACTCAGGTTATACAAAGAAAGAACAGATGATGGTTTTATATTCAGAATTAAACTAAAAATAGAATCCCCAGACCCCGTGGCGATCGGGCCTAACGCGGTCCTCGGGGAACAAAGAGCTGCCCCGGCCCTAGCCGCAGGGAGTGCCGCACCCGCTAACGTCGCCGTCACTCCAACCCCTGGGTCGTCACCCGAGACGGGACAACGACTGTTTAATCTTATCATAGGGGCATTCCTGGCCCTTAATCGAACCAGCCCCGATGTAACTAAATCCTGCTGGCTCTGCCTTGCATTCCCCCCCCCCTTATTATGAGGGAATTGCTACTTCAGGGACCTGTAATAACATCACTAGCACTCAGGGATGCACACCCGACTCCCAACCACAACTCACCCTTACAGAAGTTTCAGGACAGGGAACCTGCATAGGAACACCCCCCCGGGGCTACCAGAGACTCTGCAACACTACCACCCCGATTTTGGGGACTGATTCTTACCTGGAGCCCCAGCCGGGAACTTGGTGGGCATGCAACAAAGGCCTCACCCCCTGTGTGTCGGCCAAGGTTCTAAATAGCTCAAACGACTTCTGTGTCATGGTGCAGATCATACCCAGGATGTTCTATCACCCTGCTGAAACTCTAGAAAATCAGTATGATAAACATCCCACCCGTTTTCGGCGCGAACCTGTCTCCCTAACCTTAGCCGTTATGTTGGGACTAGGGGTCGCTGCTGGGGTGGGTACTGGCGCAGCTGCTCTGATCCAGGGCTCACAACGTTCTATAGAACTCCAAACAGCTGTAGATGAGGATCTACGGACACTAGAGCAGTCCGTGTCTAAGCTAGAACAGTCCCTCACCTCACTTTCAGAAGTAGCACTTCAAAACAGGAGAGGCTTGGATTGACTATTCCTGAAAGAGGGAGGACTGTGTGCGGCCCTGGGAGAGGAATGCTGTTTCTATGCAGACCATTCTGGAGTCATCAGAGACTCCATGGCCAGACTCAGGGAAAGGTTAAATAAAAGACAAAGGGACCGGGAGGCCCAGCAGGGCTGGTTTGAAAGCTGGTTTAATCAGTCTCCCTGGTTGACCACCCTAATCTCTACCATTCTGGGCCCTCTAGTTGTCCTGCTCCTGCTGCTAACTTTCGGCCCCTGCGTCCTCAACCGGCTGCTCCAGTTCATCCGAGAAAGATTGTCTATTACCCAAGCTCTGGTATTAACTCAGCAATGTCGGGCCCTCCAAACTGAAGAAATAAATGTTCCCTAAGATTTTAAGGTTAAAATCAGCCCAAACAAGAGGAGGGAATGAAGAAACCTCCCCCCTTGTAAGTAGGGCCAGCCCTAATCCAGAGGCAGCCCATCCAGGCGCCTTCCTGACATTTTAGCAACTAAAAGCATTCTGTTCTCAATAAGAAAACCGTTTCCCCCCACACCCTGATTGGAATGTCCCTGAATAGGTTCATGTTGACCCTCCCCAAAATCAACCTGGATGCCATGCGACTCCCGCGGTTCTTTTGTCTTCAGGCGGTTTCTTTCCTTTTAAAAGATCCCTGTAATTGCTAATCGGGGCTCTTTTCCTCCTCGGAGGCGGAGAGCCCGTTTGCACAAACGTTCAATAAACCCTCTTGCTGACTGCATCTGCCTGTCTGGGGTCTGAGTCTCTGGGGCGTCCACTGGGACACGTTGGCACCCATGAGCCAGGGTCCAACAGGGTTTTCCAGATGTGATACCAAATAAACGAAACCTTCAAATGGCTCTCTCCTGTTCCCGAAAGGTTTAACTCTAATAGATAATTTCAAATAATTATGTTTGTTCTTCTAGCATTTTATTTCTTCTAGCATTTTATTTCTTAAATTTTCTGAAAATTATCATTGAAATTTAAATCGATGATATAGCAATCCCCCATTGATATTTTTATTTTTGTTTGTTTTTTTAAAATAAGATTTATTTATTTTGAGAGAGGGAGCAAGCATGGGCATGGAAGGGGCTGAGAGGAGGGGCAGAGGGAGAGAATCTTCAGGCAGATTCCACAGAGTGCTGAGCCCAACCTGGGGCCAGATCCCACAACCCATGAGACATCGACCTGAGCTGAAACCAAGACTTAGATGCCCAACAGACTGAGCCACTCAGGTGCCCCCTGCCAGGTGATTTTTTTTTTAATATTTTATTTATTTATTTACAAGAGACACACAGAGGAAAAGAGGCAGAGACAGGCAGAGGGAGAAGCAGGCTCCATGCAGGGAGCCGGACGTGGGACTCGATTCTGGGGTCTCCAGGATCATGCTCTGGGCTAAAGGTGGTGCTAAACCACTGAGCCACCCGGGCTGCCTGCCAGTTGATAATTTTAAATAAGAGTGGAAACTAGAAATTTATGCCAAATTTCATTCGCTCAGGTGTTCATTCTGCAACCAATATTTGTCACAATTTTAGTGTGTGTCTGACATTGCTGTACTGTGTTCAGAGAGATATATAGGATTTTTCAATTTATGTAATTTGCTTCCAGAATATATTTCAAGTCTATACATGTTTGCAAACTACCAGAGGTCACAAGTAAAACTGAAAAAACGTGAAGTCTCATGAATATATATGGGGGCTTTGATAAAATCAGGGATGACCCCTACTTCCCTGAAGGGCTAACCTCAGTTCTTTTTAATAAGCAAGGGGTGTCAAGCTTCAGAACACCTGGCAACTGAAACCCAGTTTTTCTGCTGGCTCCTCTGTATTCTACCCCAGATAATGCTACGCAATGTTTACATAATACCCACATCTGTTTCAGCTGCTCGGAAGAGTAAATTTTTCAAAAGTTATAGCAATCTGGACCCCCCTCTTTACTTGATCTTGAGATTTTTGTGCCTAATCTATAGATACTTCTTTTTTTTTTTTTAAAGATTTATTTGAGAGAGAGAGAGAGAGAGAGAGAGAGAATGTGAGTGAGGAGAGGGAGAGGGAGAAAGAGAATCCCAAGCAGACACCATGCTGAGTGCAGAGCCTGACCTGGGGCTCAATGCAGGGCTCGATCCCAGGCCTCTGGGATCATGACCTGAGCCAAAACAAAGAGCTGGATGCTCAACTGACTGAGTCACCCAGGAGCCCCTATAGCTACTTCTGTGAATAACCAGACAACTATTTCAAAAAGGGAATACTTCCTGATGCCTTTATTACCATCTCTACATGGAAATAAGAGTTGTGATAGCATCCAAGGATAACTGGTACATTCAATCATAACTCATTACCACATTTTAAGCAACAGAGGTTGGCCCAATGGATGGCTTCTGTTTTCTCCTCAGAGAGCTGGTGAAAGAACTTTCTAAGCATTTCTTGTTTTACTTGTGAATATGTACAATTTATCTTTCTGATACAAGTGTGTACAGCTTTAGTATAACTTGTTTAATGGTCACAATTGGTTAATTTCACCTTTTTTCCCAAGAGAGTGGACAATGATTAATTCTGTGGTGGGTGACAGTGATTCTTTCTTTGGCCCCTAAAAGATAACTTGATCAAAAGTTTCTCAAAACAGTGTCATTGACTTAAACATTCACATCTGTATTTTTTTAATATGTTTTTAAATTTTTATTTATTTATGATAGTCACAGAGAGAGAGAGAGGCAGAGACACAGGCAGAGGGAGAAGCAGGCTCCATGCACCGGGAACCCGATGTGGGATTCGATCCTGGGTCTCCAGGATCGCGCCCTGGGCCAAAGGCAGGCGCCAAACCGCTGCGCCACCCAGGGATCCCTCCCATCTGTATTGCATTTATATTTACCTATTTTTTTGCTTATTGTTCATGCTTGAATATGCCTTTTAAATTCAATTTTCTAATGAAAAATTTTAAAATATTTTGTTTTATTACCATTCATCTCTAAGCTTAAAGGATATGTATCATTCCCTGCTTTCTTCCTCTCTACCCCAAACTTTTTTCTCTCTTCCTTCTGTTATGTCACATTCACTATAATAAGGCAAAATATCTATCATGCTTGAAACTATATGTGAAATTTTAAAGAGAATGATTATAGATTCCACCCAGAAAAGATACCCTGGATAGACAGGTTTTTTGTTTTTAATTAACTTTTTTAAAGAAGATTTTTTTAAAAAAAGAAATTATAGACTTACAGAAAGTTGTGAAACTAATACCTAGAATTCCATG